TCCCTCTGCAAAATCGTTTTAATTGCTGAGTGCCCCCTCATGTTTTGGCACACACCATGCTTAGTTGCATCAAGAGTTAGAAAACGACTTCTTTTTCCTCTCGCTGAATTTCCCTGTTTTCCCCCTGCTTTGGGGAAAGTCCTTCTGTTGCGGACATGACCCTTTGCAGAGCTGTGACTGCAGTGCCCAGGCTGCAGGAGCAGAAGCATTTCAGGTGCCAAAATGGTTTTCTTTCCTCGTTGTGGTGGAATGGGGTACACAGAGAAGGAGGACTTCCATTCTCGGGGTGGATGGGAAGGCACACAGGGTGGGCTCCGTCTTGGCCAGTTCAGCCAGCAGCTGTATCCTGCTGGCAGAAAGCAATGCCCCCTGTGCCATGCCACCTTTGCACCACCCGGAACCAACTCAGCCGAGCAGACAGAGCTGCCAGGGTAACAAGCAGCCCTACAGATCTCCATGTGCAGGGTTGTTAAGCATTGTTGGTTTTTCACATTGGCATCCAGAGTTTGAGGCACTGTGTGCTGCCAAGATAGCTGGCTGCTCCACTTGGAGCTGCGTACACCGCAGCACTTTTCCCGTGTTTCTATAGGAATATATCCGGCCTGAGGTATAAGCAAGAGGAGCTGGAAGGTTTAGCTTGTCTTCAGAGCTACATCAGCAGCAGAATAAATGAGGCGTGGTGGGAAGGGTCCTGTGTCTGGTGTGCTGTGTGTGATGGATGGCTCTGGGCCCTCCAGGACAGATGAGCAGGGCAGGTGAGATGGAATGGTGCTGCTGTATGTAGCGGTGGGCTTGGCTGGACGGAGCTTGTAGTTGGCAATGACACGGCTGAGACACCCCGGGTCTGGATTAAGGGACAAGGAAATAAAGTGGATGTCAGTGTGGGAGTCTAGTATAATGCACCCGGCTAGGACAGAGATACCTATTAACTATTCTTTTAGGAATTAAGGGATATCTCTGGAACAGCCTCACCTGCCCTGATGGGTGACCAGCTTCCCAGATGGTAAGGAGGGGTACCACACATCCAAAAGAGCAGGCCCGGGAAATCCCTAAAGCATGTTGATGCGCCACCATGAAACCCAGCAGAGCTGTGCCTGTGTGCCACCATTCAAAGCAGCAGAGCTGTGACACCATTAAATCCAGCAGAGATGTGCAACCATTAAACCCAGCAGATCTGTGCCACCATTAAACCCAGCAGAGCTATGCAAATATGCCACTAAACCCAGCAGATCTGTGTCAGTGTGTCACCATTAAACCCAGCCGAGCTGTGCAATGTGTCAGCATTAAAGCCATCAAAGGTGTGCCAATTTGTCACCATAAAACCCTGCAGCGCTTTGCCTGTGTGCCACCATTAAGCCCAGCAGAACTGTGTCACCATAAAACACATCAGAGCTGTGCCACCCTGCTGGTTTTTATGGTGGCAGAATGTCACAGCTTTGTTGGGTTTAATGGTGACACAGTTCACAGCCCTGCTGGCTTTAATGGTGGCATATTGCACAGCCCCACTGGGCTAACTGGAGACACATTGGCAGAGCTCTGCTGGGTTTAATCGTGGCATATTGCACAGCTCTTCTGGTTTTAATAGTGGCACATTGGCACAGCTCTGGTGGGCGTAATGGTGACACACTGCACAGCTCTGCTGGGTTTAATGGTGGTACACTGGAAGCTGTCCTGAAACTCCTTGCTTCCTGTTTCCAACCATTCCTCTGACAAAACTCACTGTACTGTCAGATTATTGACAGTGTGGCAGTGTTTGATAACAGAGGATGTGAACTGAAAGTTTAGACTGGAAACACACAAACAATGGATCTGGAAAAGAAATGAGTCTTGCACACTGCTGCTGGTGCCACGCGTCGCACATGCATTGATGTGGGTTTGTGTATGCTCTGAGATGTCACTATTTCAAGTGAGAATCTTGGAAAAAGGGAAGCTGCCCTCTAGCCTGTACCGAACACCCGAGCACAGCTGTTCTCCAGCAGACAAAGCCACATTCTGGCAATGAGGCTCTGTTCCCTGTTTGCCTTGAGTTACTTTAGGCAAAATAATGACATTCTGTGCCTTAGTTTCCAGTTTTATAGAAGGAAAATAATAAAGTGATTTCCTTTCATGCCATGCCAGAACTATATATTAAAAATTCAGATAAATGTTCAGGTGATTCACTGATTCTACGATCCACTGTGGTGAAGAAGACATGGACAGGTGAATTGAGTGTGATCAAAACTCAGTTGTAGCTGCAGCTACGCAGCTTTTCCAGCACTGAGTAATGATGCTGCCTGGCTGCCTAGCTGCAAGACACCCGGAAGGGTTCCCCAGAAATGGTTTTCTCTGAATTGGCTTTGATGCACCAACCACCAAAACAAGCAATGCTCTGACCGGTGCTACAGTAATTTTCAAGGTTGCTGTTCCTTTTACCACTAAGGGGCTTTTTGGTGAACAAATGACTGATGTAGAAGGTCCATACAGCTGCTGTTTCAGCAAATGCAAGCAGAAATTTTCTGCTGGTTTATTAATTTCAAAGGGCTCTACTCAAATTGCCAACTCTTGCATCAAAAATGCATGCACAGTAGTGTCTATGTCGGAGAGCCAGCCATGTAGGACTTTCAGACCCCAGATCCTTGTGAGAGCAGCAGATGATCCAAGGCATAAGTTAGATGCCAGAATAGATTGCTGGAGGATAACTTGAAACCTCTTCTGCCGCCAGTAGTTGTTTTTTTTAATTTGATGCGAAAATGGAGGCCTTGAAGAATAAAAAGAGAATTCCATTTTCATCACCAGGTTTGGGGCAGCCCTGCATGAACACTCCTACAAGAAGCTGGAATGGGCCCAGCAGAGCCACAGTCACCACTGTCTTCTGGTGTATGGCTCAAGTCCTAAATCTCTCCTATATATATTTATTTGTTTGTTTGTTTATTTTTAATTATTACTATTTTTGTCAAGGTATTTTTCCTTTAAAATTGACTGAGAATTTGTTTGAGCCGTGTGATAAGTGTCTATTTCATGTGATCCTGGTTTATCCCATTTGCTTGATTTGTCTCTGTCTGGGTTGCTTTGATCTGCAGAGCTCAGTTCCCTCTCTCTGTTCTGCTTGTTTTCTGGCCGTGGAGAAGCTGGGGACAGAGAAGGAATTGGCACCTGCCAGCTCGGGGTGCTGATGGCATCGCAGGTTGAGCTCCCATCAGCAAATATAGGAGCCAGTCTGTAGAGCAAAACCTGTGGTGCTGAGGGCCTGACGTTCACCCTGTATATGCATTTCAGTAGCAATTTAGTTTGTTCTAAGCATTGGACTGGCTAAATAGATAGTGAAGGGGGCCTGTCTGTGTCTGTGCAACGCAGGTTCTTTGGGGTATAAAACTTCCCAGGCCGCTGCACAGCCCACTGGTGCTCAGGACTGGGCTGCTCGAAGTATCAGATTTCAGAAGGAAATTCTTTATTAAGAGGGTGGTGAAGCATGGCACAGGCTGCCTGGAGAAGCTGTAGATGTCCCATCCTTGGAGGTGTTCAAGGATGGGGCCCTGGGCAGCCTCAGCTGGTCATGACAATCCTGCCTGCAACAGGGTCTTGGAACCAGACGGCCCTTAAGGTCCCTTCAAACACAGATCATTCTGTGGTTGTATGACGCTTTAGTGGTTTCTATCTGAACACCAATTTACAGCCAGAATGCTTGAGGTATGATTCTGGAGAACATTTTCTGGCTCTGTTTTATTCAAGAGGAATCCAGCTTGTGTCCTCAACGTTGCTTCATGTTGTGAGCCTGAGTGCAGCAGGCTTGGAGAAGGGCATGGGGACACCCTTCAGGCACAGAGTGCTGCAGACACACGCAGGACATCTCCCAGTGCTTCTCCTGGGAGCAAAAGAGAATCTGCCAACAGCTGGGGGAACTGCCCATGCTCCTCTCTGCTGCACTCCTGCCTCTTGTCAAATCCCTGCAGATGGAGGCCAGCATTCTTGCTGCAGGCTACAGTTGGTTTCAGTTTTCAAAACTTTTTTTCCTTGCAGCTGTTAATGCCCAAACCTTTCTCAGTAGAGCAAGCAATGTGAAACAAAACAACACTTCTGAGACTGCAGCTCAGTCACATCCCAGGGCTGCAGGCAGAGGCAGTTCTGTCCTCAGAGGGTGTGAACTCAGGCGGCAGAACTCAAGGCAGGGAGGTCTGACACACATGGAATGTGATGACTTTCTGTAGTTCCACATGCAGCCTGCATGCCCTCAATTCTTCCTCACATCTTTGCAAAAGATAGTTCAGTTCTATTTACTTGCAGTTCATTTGCAGTTCATTACAGTTCTGAATTACAAAATTATTCTTCTTAATACTGCCAGGAAAATTAGCAATATCCAAAACCTCAGATTAAAAATTAAATATGGGTATACTATCATTTCCCTTTGATAAATATTCACGTGTAATATGTATTACTGCAATAATGTATTACCTTTTTCAGAAAGGAAAAGTTACAAGTGCTTTAGGCAGATTTATGTGTGCAAATAGGCATTATTTCTGATGGTGGTGGATATGATGGAATAGTGACATATTTCACAAATCACCATTTCTTTCCTTTGTTTTTGTTTTCCTTTTCTTGCTTGAAGACTAACAGGCAAATTTGTAAGTAACACGAACAAGTGGGATGCAGAGCAGCACATGTAACTGCAATCGTCTGCAGGTCCTCATCCAATAATGTTTCTGTATTCTTATTCAGTAAGGACTCTTCAACTTTACAAACGCTTTCTAAAGAAAGCATAAAAGAAATCAGTACTGTAAATTTTGCATTTATTTTCCTCTGCAAACACACTTTTAGTCACTATTTGAGTATGAATAGTTTTTCCTAATGCCATAATACAACGCAGTTAGGTCAATGCTGTTAATGAAACTGGTGATTCAAAGTATTTTTGTATTTTCTCTCAGATACTCAATTTTGCTCTTCAAGAATAAGTTTAGTATTTGTCATGTTTTGGAAGTACAAAGATTCAGACAAAACTGCAGAGAGAGACCTCACAGAGGATACAGTTTGACGCTATTTAAGAGTTTAATTTCTCATATGCTTGTTGTATTATTTCTGGCTCCTGGCACTTCTCTGTAATAACCAAACATTATCTTTTTGGACTGTTTGGTTGTGGGCTTTTCAACATTCCAGTACAGAGCAAAGCACATTTGGTGGCATGACATTTTGGGAAGCCTGCCTCAACTCTCCTGGTGTAACTCAGGATGTGTTCTTTCTGTCTCCTACAGAACTGCATTTCCCTGACCCAGCAACTTTTGTAGCATTCCTCTGAGTCCTTGTAGCTGATAAGATTATGGGAAGGGTTTGTGGTGGCTGTTCAGCACATATCCATCAATAGGAAACTTCAGCTGGCACCTTGCAGTTCCTTTGCTTTGGCTTCTGAATCCCTCCTCCAACAAAACAACTCCTAAGTTATCAATTTCACATATTTCAGTATCTTCCTATTAACTGTTGAACAATCTGTTTGGCTTCTGAGTATCCCTCTTCTCACTCTGGGGAAATGCTTTTGCTATAGGTAACATCTGAGCCAAGTTCCATGCATTTAGGTTTGTTGTACGCCCGTTTTGCTCAGAAGCACATCACTTCTGTTGATGGCACTGTTGTTGAAGAATTTCACTTTGAATCAGAATGCCTAACAGTGAACAGTTGCAAGCAGCTTAAAAATGCCATGGAGACCATTGTAAAGAGTGTGCTTAGAAGCCTCAGCCAAAACTATTCTTGTGAATCTGAATGCTTCCCTGTTGCTGAGCAATGCTAATTAAGCTTTCAGTGCTGAATTGAACCTGCAGATAGGAAACACACTATTTAGCACGTAGCTTCAGTGAAAACCAGCTGATTCTTCTGACCATCTTCTCTCAGCAAGCAGAAGGAGCCTTTTAGTATTCTTCTTTCCCCACTGGTTCTCATTTTTTTTTTGCCCCAGAAATAGAGAATCAAATGAGATGAGGTATGCTCATGTCATGATGTATTAATTCTCTTGACTTTCCCAAGAAAGTAATTCTGTGGCAGGGCAGTAGTTTGTGGGACTGCCTATTTAATTTCCAGTAAACAATGAGAAATGTTTGCAGATTTAGCTCTTTCCTCTTAGGACCCCAACATATTATGGCAGCACCAGACAACACCGGCTTTTGTAAATGATGTACAAACACATGGGTGCACTTTTTGAACAGCAAGAGGTCAAACAAGATATTACAAGTGATATCCCATGGTACAAAACTAAGCTGACTGCTTCCTCAGTAGACGAATTGGCCAACATGGATCCACGAATTGTTCCTACCATTATGAAGACACAGAGGACGACGTCTCAGCTTGCTCTCCACACTGTCATTCATTCACCCTGGCTGGCAGGAGGTTTTCCAGCAGTCTGAGCCTTGTTTGGGTCTGTGTGCCTTCTGTCAGCTTAGGCTCTTCCATAGCCATCAAGATCTCTAAATATCTCTTCAGTTCCTCATTGGACACAGATTCAACTAATCTGGAATATGGTGGTGCTGTGGAAGAGAATGGTCCTGCAAAGGAGACTGTTCTGTTAACAGGAAGCTACGGAAGTATCCTGCAAGTATCATTTATTAGGTACCAAATGTTCTGTTGTCATTTTACCAGAAACTTAGGAATTCTGGTTTCCTTTTCACTGCTTTCTCAGATTGACAGTGTGTCTCCCTACCTGCCAAACAGGATGCCAGTCTGTCAGAATTGTTTTCTGTTTGTTTACTACATAAAGACCACTGATGTAATACCCATTTCTGCATCTTTGATGATCCAGAGCAAAAGAAAGCATATGAGTCTCCTGGGAACATCAACAGAGCTGTCTGAATGAAAGGGGCATTTACTGCCTTTTGCCTCTCTTACAAGCTGATTGGTATGAGAAAACTTGTTTGAGATGTCACGTTGACCTGTGAGAAAGCAATTCTCTTCTGGATAATTTTGGCAGAACAACCTGACCTTCAATAAACAATGACTAAAATGGGCCCTTTAATTTCTTGTTGTCCCTTACAGTATGCATTCTGAGGCTGAGTCATAAGATGGAGTGATGGAGTCCAGAGACTCGCTTCTGAAAATTGCTCTCATAATATCAGTAGCAGCACTTATGAAATCTCCAGGTTGCTTGAACTTGCTTAAGGATGGTGTTCGTGACAGTAGAAATCTGGAGCTGTTTAAAAGCTGACCCTATGATAATGTCCAGGGCTGAGATTAGGTTTGAACACGGCTCAAGGAACTGACAGAAATCCAGGGTCAAAGAGTAAAACGCTGCTTTCTGCTGCCAGGAATTTACAGCGAGCTGCAGTGACAAAGACTTGTGGAGATGATATACAGCAGATCATCTGAGATCATCGATCGTAAGGGAAAGGGACAGGGAGGAGGAAAACAGTGTGATCTCTGTTCAGAGGTTGCTAAATCTTTTGAAAAGTACATGCAATGGGCAGCCAGTACAACTCACCAATTTCGGCTCACCAATGCTTGCTGAAAAGCAGTTCAAGCAGAAGACTTGCAAGTGAAAGACTGATCCTTTAAAGCAAAGCTTTCTCAGAGACAGCTGGTGATCCTGCACGGAACTGTATGTTTTTCCCAGTGGGGCTTTTATTTAAAATATTCACCTGTAAAGTCAGAGGAAACAAAGGGTTTTGTTGCTAGATGTTTGATTCCTAAACTGCCTTTCCTTTTATAGCAGTTATGTGGAAACTGTGTGCAGGAACTTGGCAGAGGAAAAACCCTTCAGCTCCCAGCTGAACTGGAAGTGGGGAGGGCAGAAGGCAAGTCAGTAAGGGTGAGTAGAGTTGCCACACTCTCATTTTAAATACCAGCAAACAACAACAACAACAACAACAAAAGATCTACAAAGTTTTAAAACAAACAAAAAATCCACAGTGAACAGAAGAATTTGACTATGTTGTTGGAAATACTTCTAATTTCCTTTCTTTGAGTAAGACCGATGACAAATACAAAGAATCTGTGTTGAGGCTACAAACATCTAAGTCTGCAGAAGTTGATGTCTGCATCTTACATCTGCTTAAAGTTGGAATCTACACAGTTCCACCTAGGGAAAAAAGAAGGTTTAGGTGTACACTAATGCTTATCTTTTTATCTATGTGGGGACTCTGTTGCTTCCGCAACCATACCTGAAAATCTGGAATCATCAGTCTGTAAAGAAGCCCTCATCTGCAGCGGTGCAGCCCCTCAAGTTTGAGTTGTTGTGAGTTCCTCTCTCAGAGTTGTTGATATTTAATCCCAATTGCTTGACTCACTGTGATGCAGAACATCTTCCCTTTATTTGTGCTGTCATCAGAAAAATCTGGGAAGAAAACTCTCCAACTCCATTGTGATGTTAGTGGTGGCATTCCTTTATTCTTGCAATCCATACTGGGCGACTTGACAAATCAAGCACATGCTCCCAGATTTCTGGTTCTGCATTTAAATAGTTGAGACATACACATGCAATACACTGACACACATACTCACTCTTGTCAAAGAACTCACTGATGTATTTTAATGTCCCTCTGAGCATGACTGGTCATGTCTATAGTGGTCATACCACCCACCTGCCTCCTCCCCTTTATTTCTCCTTCACTTTCATCACAGTGTCCCTTTCACCAAACTTTTTGCTGCTTCTACCCAGTGTGACTTGTTATGCCATAATGAGCAACAATTCATATGAAACCCAAGAGCAAGTACCTGCGCCTGGTGGATGAAAAGACAAAAGCAGCCAATTGTGACTTCAGTGCTTCAACGAAGTGGAGATTGTTTAGAAAAACAAGACTGTTCACACACCAAGAAAAGCTGAGCTGGAAAAATTTAGAACTATCACATATTAATTCCTTTTTGCTAAACTAATATAATATATATAAGACAACTGCAATAATATAATCCTTATGGGGAGAAAGCCCTTAGTGTGGGTTTGATGCAGGTTCACACTGGACTCCTCACAGCTCAGAAAACAACACATCCTGGGACATGCACTGTTCCCAGCAGTGACTGACTCTGTGCACACAGTTCTGTCAGAGCAAATGAGGAAACAACTGCAGAAGAGACTAAAGAGGATTTAAGAGAATACTCTGCATTACAGTGTGCAGAAGCTCTGGCTCCAAACTATCTTAGCTGACTAGTAGCAACTCAAACCCTGATGTCACAGCTATGCTGCAGAGCCCTACAGATACTTACATACTTACTTCTGGCTGAGTCAAACTTCCCTGCAGATACTGCTGTCAAAACGTTCTTTGCTCACAAACAAAACATCGTTACATGACAGAGTTACATAGGGCAAACGTGTGCTCAATTGTAGCACTGCAGTGTGGCCTCTCATGCACAAGCAAATGCAGGTGCTAAGTACCTCACACAGTAAAAACAACTGTAGTTCACTGTTGTAGATAGTTGTTAACGATTTTCCCAAATGCTCTGTATTTGTAGTGCTATTAAAAAATTACTATTTTTGTTAAGACAACATTTAGGTGAGGGTTTGGGGGTTTGCTATGGTCTTATATTTCTGTGCTCACATGCCCCTAACTTCTCAGTCATGACCTCTTGTATAGCAGGCAGGAAATTCTGAGAGATTGCAGAGACCTCTGACTCAGAAACATAGGAGGTTTGATCTCATGCAAATATAGTTTCAATATGGTAAGTGGGGAAAGCAAAAAACCTTTTCTTTGTCTGCAGCACTTTCAAAATGGCATAATCTAGACAATAGGAGGAGCAAGACCACAGTGATTTTAGTGCTATATTACCAGGTTTTCCCACAAAGAATATCTTAATAAAGACCTTCAGAAAGTACCCTCTAGACAACATGTTCTTTGCTGTGTATTCAGTGTAGAGGAATGTGTATGAGTATGAACTGAGCTCCACTGACTTAATTATATGAAATTCCTGTTTTTCCTCTGAAATGTGATATTGAGTGAGCCTCCTCAACAGACTCAACAGATGGTAGCTGCCAACAAAATAAATGAGTTTCCTTGGTTTGTTACCTTCATAGACAACAACAACAACAACAACAACAAAGTGATAAAGGGCAAATATCTGATCCCTGGCTGCAGGAGGCTCTTTTCAGGCAACACAGTACCCTGTTGAGATAGAGTGAGCTTGCAGTGATCCCACACTTTAAAAATTCACTTAAAAAATGTCACTTGTAAGGATTCTGTTGCCTCCTCAACTCAGCCCATCTCAGAAAGCATAGCACATCTTAATATGATCTATGATTTTACTTTTCTCTAGGAGGAGGAAGTGCATATCTAAAGAACAGTAGGATTTCTTGGGGTGTGGTGTTTGGCCACCAGCTATTAGAGAGAAGGAGACACAGCAACAGGGCATCATCATGGCTACAGAAAGAACAGCTTTTGGGACCGCTGGCTTCACAAAATAGGAGGAGGGGCATTGGTCTGGTTCCTAAGCAGAAAGAAAAAGAAAAAAAGACAAATAAGGAACAGCATGCTGCTTGGCCCTCTTACAATCCTGAAAAAAGTTCTTTCTCCACCTTTGCTGATAAGCACCCTCTGAGCAATTTCAACTGCACTTGAATTGGATTTTTCACACTATTTCATGTAAAGAAATCTTGATTCCAGAAATTAAGAGGGTTTGACTTTGGAGTTAAATAATCAAAATGTACCTTTTTAGTATGAATGGAAGAGTGACCATTTCCATTTCAATTAGGCATGGGGAAAGCGTAGAGTTTTTCAGAAGCGAACTTGATAGGGCTGGATCAGAAGTGCCAGGACAGCTCTCTGCTTCAAGTGTGAGAAGAAAGAAATGTGTGGATCATGGGAGTGGGGAAGGAGATACCATCTGACCTTGCCCTTTCTCTTCCACTGCAGCTCACCACCATGAGGAATCCTAGCAAATCAGTGTAGATACATTTCAAATCTAAATTTCAAGTCAGCAAGGTCCTGTGGCTTGTAAGTGCTAGAGACTGTTTCTGACAGATGAACAAGTGCAGGAAATTCCAAGAGTCTAAGTCTAAGACAGTCTGAACCTTTGTCAAAAGCTTGCTGTTGGACAACTTCAACAGATGGATAAATCCAAGAAATCTTTGGTTTGAAGACTTGAAGGCCAGAGGCAACCAGAGATAAGCAGCCTCCAGAGACAAGAAGATGGCTGATGAGCAGCCTTTTGTGGGCATATCTTGAAGGAGATAAACATCCAGAGAACCAGCATGGCCACAGGTGCTGCATGTGACTCTAACCTAAGTCCATGCTGGGAGCTGCTGTCACTGTGACCAGAGAACATCAGTATTCCTATGAATGCTTTAATGGCTCCTGCTAGTAAACCTGGCTGCCAAAGCACTGTTAGGCCAAGTACACAGTATCACAAAGCACAACACTTTCTCACCTGATTGTACCCATAAAGCACAGAAAAAGACAAACCATGTCTTCCTCCTGAAAATATGTTAACAGCCAGTCAAGGCAAGACACAGAATATCTAATCAATTCATTAATTCTCAAACAACACTTAAAAGCAGAGCACTCACCCACAGCAAGCAAAGAATCTTTGTGGTCTCCGGACATCTCAGGATATCTACAGCCTCATTAGCTATCTACTGCATTTGGAGACTTGGAAAAACTGATCCCTACAGGGGGATACAAGGGAGGACAGCACTCATAGAGCTTGCTCACACCTAACAGGAGATGCCAGCATATGCCACTCTCCTAAAAACAACACATCCCAGCTGAGGGTACCCACTCACTGCCACACTGCTGAGTTAAAACCGTGCTCGCACACAGCAGCACCATCACATGCTGCACAAACAGCCACGCTAATGGCCAGCCTGCTCACGGAAGAGGGCAAGTCACCTTGGGTTTCTCTCGGGAGGTGCACTCCCCACTGGATCCGTACACCATGTCATTAAATACATACGTGTATATTAAGAAAAAAAAAAAGTTTTACCTTCGACTTGGATTCTGCTTTTGGGGTCCCATCAGTCTTACTGTTCATTTTAGTTGCAGGAGTTAATTTGACATCCGCAAGACCCATCATTTCAGGACTTGCTGCCATCCCTAGGAAGTTACAAGAATTCATGACACTGCTTTCCAATCCAGACCCATGAAGTCACCCAACGCCCAGCACTCGGCACTGGGACACACCGCTTACCTGCTGAGTTGTTAGCCATATTTCCACCCATGGGATAAGGTGGGCCCTGGGGGTTGATCATGCCAGCCATGCTGTTAAGTCCCTGTCCGTAAGGAGGTCCAGTACCCATCATTCCTCCTTGGTTCATGTTGGGATAACCAGGAGGCCTGGAAAAGACGAGGAAGAAACAGACATTTACTC